TTCGTATGCAAATCTCCACCTTATAATTAGCAGTTAACGCAGTCGGAACCTCATCTAATCCGAAAATTTAAAATTAAACCATTGGAGAATAGAATGTTTTAAAATATAATTAGTCAAACCCCATACCCAGGGATTGTGCAAGGGTGACCCCCCACCACACACACACACACAATCTACTACATCTCAGTTTTTCATAAGTTAGTATTCATATAAAATACAAATTTTATTGTAACTTAATTATATACAATAATGGATCATATGCAATATAGGTGAACAATTCAAAATTGAAAATAAATCCAATGTATCTAAATACAAATTAGAGACATGTCATTTTTGTATTCATATGCAAATCTCCACCTTATAATTAGCAGTTAATGCAGCCGGAGCCTAACCTAATCATAAAATTGAAGATGAAACCACTAGAGAATTACTAGTGGATAGAATACAATGTATCTAAATACAAATTAGAGACATGTCATAATAGATCAAGCGATTACGAATCCTGTGACCCATTAGTGTCATAGGGGCACCATGTGTCCTGCAGTTGCGGTAGAATTGGTTATTTCTTGGGGAAGATAGCTTGATAGAACCCAACCCTCTTTAGGCCGGTTGTTGAATTCAGAGTTACCTTATAGACTGGTTATCAAACAAGGATAGAGAACCCAGTCTGTCCTGTTATTTTACCCATAGCTTGGGGGAGAAGAAGAGGTTTCATACCTTTCCCAGGGTTATTAGCATGTAAGTGAATGTAATGGATCTGATTGGAATATGAATCTGGCTCTCTGATTCCTCAATCCAAGCCATAATCCATTACTCCACAGTGCTTTCCTAATGGATCCTTCCATCTTAAATCAATGTTTTTTACAGCAATTTTTAACATCAACTTGAGATTTCCCAAAAGTTATGTAATAAAATAACTTGTGCAGTATAATAATATTTATTTAATAATATTCATTTATTTAATAATAACTTAATTATTTACAATAAATGGATCATATGCAATATAGATAGACAGTTCAAAATTGAAAATAAATGCAATGTATTTAAGTACAAATTAGAGACATGTCATTTTTGCCCTCATATGAAAATACTCCACCTTATAATTAGCAGTTAACGCAGCCTGAGCCTAACCTAATTCGAAAATTGGGCACCTCGAGGAGGTGTAATGGTTAACAAGCTTGTCTCGCTAGAACAATTACGACTGAGTAGTGAGTTCGATCCTCACTAAGTGCCTACTACTTTCGGCACTGTGCTACATCTAAGCTACGCTCGGAAAAATCACTAACGGCGTGTAAAAACACCTCCTTGGATGGGTATACACATTTTGATACCTGCCGGGCGCAGGGATCCATCCCTGCGCTTGTAGTATCACAGCTCTGACTAGCTTGGACTAGCTATGACTAGCTAAGACCAGCGGCACGAGTGATGATAGCTAAGGATAGGAAACTCATAAAGGATTGAAATAAAGTTCATATATATATATATATATATATTCCAGGATCATTTTCTAACTTATTCAAGATGATCTTCGTCCTCTCTAAACTTCTAACTTCCTATCCTGGAGTAACACGGTGCCTCACAGGTTTCACGTATGATTTCATTTTCAAGTATTTTTAACTGCTCTTTGGATTGTCATAGATGAAACTCTTCTCTCACGTGCCCAACGTCTTATGAATCTTTTCTAATTGATTTCTTTAGCTGTAAGTTGAAATGATGATCCCTCTTCCAGCTCTGACCTCCCAATCTAGTTTTCCTCTCTACTGTTCCCTCTGTATTAAACTTATTCACCGTTCTCTTGATGGTTCTTGAATGGACTTTGAAGATAGATTATGAATGTTGGTACCATTACTCGAGGCCTGAATCATATTTTCCTCTCACCATTGCTCAGTTGGGAAGGCAGTGAAGCTGGCACAAAATGATTTCAACCTGTTCTCTTTCTAGCTGAATAACTCAAAGGATTTTTCAGTGATTCTTACAAGAAAAGCTGTCAAAATGGCTAAATATCTTATCTGAAAACCTGGAAAAAAAACAATTAGTTTAGTGTTCTTTTTTAGATATTTGGATGTACAATATATATATATATATATATATATATATATATATATATATATATATATATATATATATAATTAATTAATGAATTTATTTTTAATCCGATATTTATTTTTCATCAAACATTATTATGGAGACTTCGTGTTTGAAATAGACGCCGTATTTTTATTAATTAAACTGTATATTTTGCGTCTATCAGTCCGCTTAATCGATGTTTTCTTTTTAGATGCCGTATCCTCTCAGGACATAGTCGATCATGGCTCTCCACCTCGCCCTATCTCTTCCTTTTTTTCATCTTCGCTAAGACCTCATCGTTGCTCACACGCTCAGTCCATGATATCCTCAGCATCCTTCTGTAGAATCACTTCTCCGTCGCCTCGAGTCTCTTATTCATCTTTGAGGAAACCGTCCAACATTCGCTGCCGTAAAGGAGGACAGATGTTACATA